TCCCTCTCTCTCTCTCTCTCTCCCTCCCTCCCTCCCTCTACTTGAATGCATGCACATTGACCCCCAAACAGGAAGGAGGCATGGGCCGAGGAAAAATAATAAAATTAATAACAATAGCAATGACAACGTAAAGGGTGAAAAAAAAGAAGTTTTAAAATAGAAAAGGGAGGAAATAGAAAACAAAACAAAAACACACAGAGAGAAATCAACCAGGACAAGGTCTTTGCAGAGGCTTCAATGCCTGCTTTCCGCTTGTTTGGTTGGCGTTCTAATGGACGCTCAGCTCCTCTTATGCGGTCAGCAGCCCATCAGAAGGAGAAAAAAAACACAGCGTGAAAGACACTCACGCACAGGCACACATACACGCACACAAGTGCGCAGGCCGCGTGTAAAGCATGGAAGCCAGCAAATAAGATTTGTACCTCAGACGTAGCCCCACGTCCCCCTTCCCCAGTGCCACGCTTAGAGATCATCCAGGAAGTCCCGCACCTTATTGCCCCACTCTTCGCGAGATCGAGTTGCGGATTCCTTGAGGGAATCCCAGACTTCCGTCACCTGCCAGAGTGTGTCCTGCAAGCCGCCTCCCTCGGCACGAGCGGCCTTTGGTTGGTACGGCTGCGACCCCAGCCCCGTAAAATCCGGCCCGCCCTTCACCTCCGCACTCCGTGCCTCAGCTTGAAATGCGGGGTTGCCCAATCCACGAAAACGGTCCGCCGGGTTCACGGGCGGAGGTGCATCTGGGATGAACGTATTCGGCCTCGCGTCAACCACATCTGCCGGTGTTGCCTCGTCATGAAGGAGGGAGTGAGGAACTGGGCCTGAGGTTTCCTTAATGTCCCCCTCCACCTTTTGTGCGCCCCCAAACCCCTTCTTCTTGGCGACGCCCGGTTTCTTTCCAGTTTTGGGGGCCATGGAAATGACGGGGGCCTGCGCCACTGGGCTGCCGGCGGTCGTCGACTCGGGATCCTTGCAACTCTCCGTGGGAGATCCTGCCGCCTCCGGCTTCACCTCCTCAGCGGGCGGCTCTGTTAGCTTCCCCCCTAGGCACTCCGCCATGCGACGGTCGAGCCGCTTCCGGTACAGTTGAGCCGCAGGAGCGTTGTACCGCATCTTGGGATCATTACATCCGTGTTGCTTGAAGAAGGCCCGGGCTGCCGCGTTGCCTCCAAGTGCCATTCGAAGAGCCTCCTCCGGCCTCCAGCTGTCGAGATCGGCCGAGCGCATGAAGGAAATGTGGACACCCATGCCACGGTGGCGCCCACAGCAATCCATACACAAGAAAATGCCGTAGGTGACACTGCACCAGCTTGGGTTCTTCTGCGGACAGTCAAAACAGACTTTGTTATCCGCGTTCTGTCGGAGAGATCCTACCAGCGCTTTCGCCTCCTCAGAGTCTTTGGGTAAAGTCAGAGCCATTGCTGTTCCCGCTACTGCTACCACGCTTGCGTTGGCCTTTATTCCCTTCCTTCCAGCGTGCGAGGGCTGGGGCGGGTGTGGTGCCACCTCCGCGTTGCTCACGCACGGCGAGGTCAAGGCCGTGGTGCTCAGAATACACTCGCGCAGCCAGAGACGTTTCTGGCCCCCTTCCCCGCTTTTCTGCTCTTGAGGCTCGCCACTGAAAGAGAGACACTGTCCCACACACAACCACACATGGCGAGGAAAAAAAAAGGAAGGGGAAGAGGGGGGAAAAAAACGGGTGAACCACACATGCCGTTCAAGCCTGAACGAGGCAAGCAAAGGAGCATCCAGCAACAGCGGTCAAAACGAAAGAGAAGAGCCGTGAAAATAAGAGAAGGAGTCAGCAGCGCAGCAGCTCCCGAAGCGCACTAAAATCCTCACGTCTTCGCGCCTCCTCAGCAGAGTTCCCTGGCAACTCACATGAAAAAGCGGTGGGCGCAACCAGGGCGGAGAGGTCCACCAGAGAGCCAACAGACAAGCAGGGCGGCCTCCGCGGATGCCACAGCGCCTCGTTGACCAAAGTAACATACGTTAAGCAAACCTGAAAAACACGACATGGCTCACGCATGTCGGCCTCCGGCGCCCCCTCGGCTGGCGTGAACGTCAAAGCATGACAGAAGCGCAGACACGTCTCCTCGGAGAAGTAAGACATACGGCGAAGCAAGAGGAGTGAGGTGGCGCCAAGTTGCAACTCGGGCGACAGTCGCCGGACAGTGTCCAACTCCGCGGGAGTTATCGCAGCCTCCTCGCCAGTTGAGCTCGCCACTCGCAGGATCTGGGCTGGCGCACTTGCCAAAGGCCGAGAGTAAAGGTTTGATAGTTCGTCGTCGTTCTCCGAAAGCTGCGCGACCTGGACGCTGCCGTCGCCGTATACCTCCAGCAGCAGCCTCCCCGGCATCAGGGCATACAAAAGTGATTTTCGCACCCCAGAGAAACACTCATGTAGGCGCCTGTCCCCCATGCGAATCACGCTTCGGAACTGCTGGCGAAGAAGAAGAGGGAGTGGGGCAACGTCGTCCTTCACGGCAACCTCAACAGGCATGACGTCCAGCCCGCCACGGAGCTCCCACAAAAATACGGAGACATTGGCAAGGTCAGCACGGCCGGCGTCCCCAGTAGAGAGGCCGATCTCTTCCAAAAGCTCCGGGCAAAGCAGTCCGTCCCAGGAGTTGAGGCAGGACACTACTTGGTCCACGTCTATCGGGCAGACCGCAGCGTACGCCGCCTCCAGAAGGGCTGTAAAGGTGGGAAGCAAGGCACAATCCTTCAGACGCAGTGCCGCTGCAAGGCGCGCGGACGCAATGACCTCCAGGCAGCAGTCTGATTCCTCACACCAACTCTCCAGGTTCCGAACGCAATCGTAACCCAAAAAAGGAGCATGAGGGTCACTGGAGCACAACACGGCTCGAACCGCATCCCCGTTTCTCAACATCAATGCAGCGGCCCCCTCCAGTGCGGCCTCCGGGGAGAAGTAAAGACGGCAGTGGTCCTTGTTTCCACGCACAAAGTCCCTTGCCTGCCGATACACCTCCAGGCTGAAAGGCGCGTCCTCCAGCGAGTCGCTCGCCCCATGAACGAAAATGATATTCTTCACAGAAAACGGCGGGAACGTTATTTTCAAAACACCTGCAAAAAAACGCGACAGCCTCGCGCTAAAATTTCGACAAATCGCCGGGGCCGTGCACTCAGCGTCGTCCAAGATGCCTCGCATCACACTGTATAAATCAATGTAAACCGCGTTCGCTGAGAAGACGCGATCGGCTGGTATCAACTCACGGGCGTCATCTCCCACACCGGTCAAAACAAGTAGATCCTTCAGTCTTTTCATGGGCGCCCTCTCGGTGCTCAAGACAGTGAGACAAAAGAATAAAAAAGAAAAAGTCAAAGCGGCAGCAGAAGTAGTCATGGTCACTGAGAGTCCACCACCTCCATCTCATTCCCCACCCCCCTCCCACAGGAAAGGCAGAGCAGGTGCGAGGAGAGAGCTACAAAACATGCAGACCGACATCTCCAAAGCAAAACCGTTGAGTTCAGTCTACCCAGTCTCAGGATTCGTTTCGGCTGTCAAAACCCCAGGGAAGTAAAAAGAGTATTTTGCTTTCCTTCATTAAGGAAAGCAATGAGGGAAACATAGTATACCTGCTCCCAAGGGAGTACATTTATGATTGGCAAAAAAAAGCAACAATTCCACCAGGCAAAGGGAGTGGAGAGGACAATTTACCCCGTCTTTTCCCCCTCCTCCTCCCACCCCTCCTCAACAGCAAAGAAACTATTTCATACTCCTTGAATGTCTCTCTCTCTCTCTTTCTCTGCTCCCTTGTTATTTCCTTATTTCGTTGGAGACGCTTCGCCGCACCTTGTCAACTTCCTTCGGTGTTTGCTTTCGACCGTTGCCTGTCGGGGCCTGGCTGCCTTGGTTCGCGCTGGTCCGTCATTCCCCCCCCCACCCACCACCACCACCCTTTTTTTTTGCCTCTAGTTTGGAGCTCTGGAGCGGGGGGAGGGGTGCGTGCCTCCCTCGTCGTGGCCTCTCCCGCGAGGCGATATCAGGGCGCCGCAGCGTCACGGGGAGGAGGGAAAAGAAAAGAAGCAGACACGTGTGGCCTCGCCGGGAAAAACGGGAGGGCGGGGCGCCGTTGCGCGGCAGCGTGCGATTGCCCCCCCCCCCCCTGCGCCTCTACTATACTCTCTGTGTCATCTGCTCCTGCACCCGCTGTATGAACTCCCTATTCTTCACCTTCCACTCCTCCAGGGCAAGACAGCCCCGCTGCAGCGCTGCGCAGTGTGCCTGAATCTCGCGAAGTTCCATGCACCTTGCGAAGAACTTCTTCGCCGTGGTGTGACCCCAGCATGCTTGGGCATATTTAAGGTTGTCCTCCGCAATCTCAGGCACCTCGATTGACAAAAGTCGCGTCGCGCTGAGTTTCTTGTTGATGACCTCCTGTTCGCCCTCATTCGCCGCTATTTGTTTCTTGCAAAAGGCAATGTGCTCCGCGGCAAAGCGCGCCATCAACACCGCAAACCTCGCCGCTTCCTCCGTCTGAATGACAGAGGCCGCGCCCGACGACTCCACTTGAAATGCCTGAAGGAGGAGATGTTGGGAAACGGCATTTTCATGGACTACGGACTCCCTCGTCTCCGCCATGAGGTTGGCATACTCCACAACCGTCCCGTTGGCCGATTCATGTACCATTTGACTCAGCTCCTCGTCCTGGTGCATTTCCTTTTCTTGCCGCTGTCTTACTATTGCGTCGCGCTCTTCAGCGGCAACGCGAAGAGCGCCGGTGCTCTCAACAGAGGAGCGTCGCTCCTTCAAGCTGGTCACTGTCTTTGGTCTGGCGAGAGTACTATAGTACAGGCCCCCATTCTGTCTGCACCTTCTCCGGATGACGGCGCTCTTTGACTCAGTTTCGATTTCAAAGATGCGAAGATCCGCCAGCAGCGCGCCGCACACCTTTTCTGTCTCCAGATAATCAAAGAGGAGCCGTTCGGCCTCTGCGCCTGTCGTTGTTGTCACCTTCATCGCCTTTACCTTGTTAGCAAAGTGCAGCGTACTGATGGTTTCGTCAAATGTCAGCCGCGTCGGGGAAACCTGCGACAGGAGCAGAACCCGCGAGTTTTGCTGGCTGAACGTCGGCTTCAGCAGACGCGTTAAATTGGAGGTGCGGTAGCTGACGTAGCCGCCCTCGTAAAGGCTATGGACGACGTTGCCCAGCGCCGTCAGGCTGCTGTTGATGGAGGTGGCCTCCGCCAGCCCCTCACCCGAGACCCCGCTCTTTGCGACCTTCTCACTGCCAGCCAGGTCCGCCAGCATGATTTTGCTTCCAAAGACAGGCTCCCGCTGGCCGTTGATGCGGTAGGTCATGCCGTCAAACGGCATCTCCCCCACCCCACTGCCGTCGCACACCACACGTTTACCCTCCTTTTCTTTGGTATTATTTCTTGTGTCCAGCAGAGAGAGCGATGGGGCGGGGGCGGTGGCGGCCTGCTGCAGAATGTCAATAATGAACAGGCAGTGGCTTCTGCTGGAGGTGGAGTTGCTCTCCGTGGAACGACTCTTGCGGCGCGAGATGGCAAGCTGGATCTCATTGAAGACCGCCTGCAGCGAGGTCACCTCCTTTGTGATGAGCGAGGGGAGAAGCACCTCATCTCCAATCATTACCGCCTTCAGCGGCGGCGGCGGTGTCCCCGGGCCTCCGCCGAACAAATCACGAATATTCTCGTTGTATATCTCCACACAACTAAGCCCAATGACGACGTGGAAGCCCTTCTTTGCCTGTCGGGCCTTGTGCTCCGCCAAGTCACTCAAAACGCGCAGGAAGAGACCGCTCTCGTGCGTCAGGAGGTCATTCTCGAGCGGGTTGGGCTTCACGTCGCCCAGCACGGTGTACGTCTTTCCGGACCCTGTTTGGCCGTAGGCAAGTATCGTGACGTTGACGCCTGACAGGGCGGCGTCAACGAGGTCCACGACGGCCTCCTCGTAAACCTCCAGCTGGGTGCTCTCCTGGTCAAAGATGTGGTCGAAGGTGAACACGCTGCTTCGCGTGGGCTCGCCCTGTCGCTGGAGCTCGACCTTCAGTGTTGTGTCGCCCGTGCGCTGAACGGCCTCGAGCTCGAACTTTTCCTGCATATGCATATGACTAGTGCCATCCCGCAAAACGGGACGCACACGCACGGCGACCGCCACCCGCTTATTCCCCTCCATGGCAGAGTGTAAACCTTTGCCGCTTCCTCTCGGCTGCGAGACACCAACGGCCAAAAAAAAAACACACGCTAACAATAACAACAACAAGAACAACAATAATAATAGATACACATACAGATATATAGTTACAGTTGTGTATAGATCTGCACGCACCCAAACGTGCACATACACCATAAATATATATACGTGTGTATACATCGTGGATGGAGGGACTGGAAGATCTTCTGGAGCAAAGCTGACGCTACAGGCAGGCTGCGCCGTAAGTTCTCACAACAGGGGTTTAACAAACAAAAAAAAAGAAGAGAGAAGAAAACAAAAAACAAAAAAACAAAACAGCACTCAGTGTCCACTTTTCTCGTTTCGAATGCTTTCCCTTCCCCTTTATTCTTCTATATATATTTATATATATATATATGTGTGTGTGTGGCCTCGCCGAATGGATCTCGCTCGCAACATCCTGCACTCACCCCGTCCTCGCGCAAGTACACCCCCCCCC